GTTTCGGTGAAAGGGGCTCTGAACTACCCACCCCCCAAGACGTACTGTGGATGGACGAAAACCATTTCCCACCACTTTGAAATCATGGTTGAAACAGTTGTTTCGTGGTATTTACAGGGGCCCCGGGTATCGCACAATTCCCTTGGGTTTCTGAGTTCGGTGGCGCGATTGCCGGATTTCGCCACCATCCGCAGTACCCCCATTCGGGGGGCAAGGGGGGTGGATGTCGTCCAAGGGGTGGGGACCCGTTTCGGTAACCCTGAGAAACTTCGAAAGGGGCTCTGAGCTACCCAGCCCACTTCCCCCTCCCGAATGGGATTCCGTTTCCGAGGTGCCCAAATCGCTTCTCGCTTCGCAAAGCGCCTACTCGCAAGGCCTCCTTGGGGATCTTGGCCATACACACCTGGGTCTCATCCCCCGTGTTTACTGGGCTGCCGGTTTCCCGATCCCCCGCGAAAAGTTTGACGAACTTTTAGTGGGTGACATACGGAAACTACCACTGAACACCAAAAAGCTAAAAGGCCAAGGCGATGGCTGGGAGCCACCAAGTTTGATTTGCAACCCTCGAACATGGCAAGGGGCTGCCACAAAACCTGTCGGTTGAAGCTTATACAGCCATGCTGCAGTTTTGATCGGCGTGTTGAGCCTGGCGCATTTGCTGTACAAATTGTAAGTTGGTATGCCACTGACTAGCAAAACAAGCTGTCGGGAACAAAAAAACACAAAACAACTCTGTCCGGTTTCATGTTTGGGAGGGCACCCCCGTTTTGTGGGGTCTATACATCTTTTCAGGGTCCACAGTTCATCTTGCTTGTGAATCACGTGCACAGCGCCATTGGCCAAGGTCATGCCTGTTTCAAGCTATCTGAATTGTCTTGCTGGTGCGATAGATAACAGACCTCTAAACCACCCAACTGGTGGTTTCCTTTCCCAAGCCTGGGTTCGTTCCCAGATTCCCTGGCCCAGTGAGCACCAGCAAGTTTTGGTACATTCAGGTTGGGGTAGGCTTAGGGATAGGGGGAAGCTGCTTATACTTTCCAGGTCTAAACCCTGAAATAAGAACTGGATCTCCAAGCAAAGCGCCTACATCGCAGCTTGAATTCAGCCGCCCAATCGGTGAGCTCGCGAAACCAATCAAAACGGCAGGAGATCAAAAAGAGGCCCCAAAAGGAGTTGGGCAACTCTCAGTGTCTCCAATAGGTCACTCACGGACACAACCACTCTTGGACAAAAATCTTTGCTTTGAGCCCCTGGTTCAAAGCAATGAAAAGCCCCACTTCCGGAGGTCCGGAAAAAGGGGAATTGAGGTAAGCCAATCCAAAGGCAACGCCAATCTTCCAGTAATTAGACGCCGAAGCTGAGCAAAGCCGGCCCTCGATGAATTAAAGTTTTCAAATTGAGATGTGAGCCAGAGTCAATGTTCATTGCGTCCCCAAGTACATTGGATTTGGAGAATCGCCCGTTGCTCGCGTGTTGCCCCCAAAAAACCCAAGAGCATTCACGGCGCGCTTGTTTTGCAGGTCTTGTAAGAAGCCATGACAGAAACACACACCCGGGCAGACTTGATTTGAGGGCTGGCCGGTTGACATTCTCTGAGTCACTCTCCGAGTCAAAAAAAATCTAATGGTCTGACTATGTCTGACTCACCTACAAATTAACATGGAAGGAACCCCCGAAAAACGGTCCCCCAAAAGGAGAATCCGATCCTAAACATGGTGGGTTCGTTCCATGTTGAACTGGGGAGTAAATCCATGTAAAGAATCCCAGCGAATATCCTTTCACCCAAATTGGGCCAGGGTTCCCTGAAAAGTTTTGGCAGCTTGCATTGTTGGTACTGGCCCCATTATTTTAGGGAATCCCTAAGGGGTGGTCCAAAGGGTGGAGGGGGTTCCGTAAAGGTGCGAAACGTAGGGAGAAGTAAGGAACCCTAGGGCTCTCACCTACCCACCCTCCTTGTGCCTGCCCCCGGGGATTCCATAACTGTTCTACCTCTATCAATAGTCACGTGCTGGCCAGTTTCTGGCTTTGATGACCCCGAGAAACAGCCAAAGTCATGACCCCGGCCAGTGGTACAATGCCAACTCTTCACTTCCCTATCCACCATATTGAACCGAAAAGGAAACAAACGTGTGGTGGTCTCAAAACTGTTGGTGTCCCTTTTGGCGTCTTGTCAAAAACAACCAAAAGACGTCCAGCATCCATACCAGGAACAGAAGCAAGGTGCCATGTTGAGTGTATCGGCGTCAATCTTCAAAGGCCAAATAGAGATCCTCTTTGCACCCTTCGACCAGAGGTCTATCAGGTGGCAAATGGGATGCAGGCCGTCCCCAAACTTGCAGGGGGTTCTCTTTTTTGAACACACCACCTTTGCTCCATTCACAGTGACAATCAAACTGCAGCTGCCATACTGTGCATGGACCAAACCCATGTCGCACCACCCCCCTGAAACCCTGGCATGATTCGATTCCTGGAAATGTCCACCAACAATCGTTGCAACCATGGTTTCTGAGGTGGCGCGAAAGGATTTCGCCATCCCATCCACGGCATCCCATCCAGCGATTCCGCGATTCCTCTCGGCCCGATGCCGAGGAGCACGGCACGTGGCCATACTGGACTTGGCATACTCAACCTCGCGAGCCGGGCTGCAATCTAGGTCCTCCAGAGAGGTTAGAAGAAGGGTACTAACTTTTTTTCTGTGGGGGAACCCTCCCCCAAAAAAGGGTAAAAGGGCACTAGCAATTTTGTCTGAGGTTGGCTTCCCCTTTGAGTGGAGGGAGGTGGTCTTTTGGAGGTTCGAGCAAACTTCCACCTTTTGTGGGGACTTCCGCCTTTTTTCGGGTTTCAATTTGTTCGAGGTGATATTTTCTTGGGTGGAAATTCGCTCCGGCTTCCCGACAACGGGGGTGCCGTTTTTGTGGTATCATTTCGTTGGGTGGAGTTTTAAAGGCAAACTAGAGGGAAAACCATGGGTGCGTGTTTTTTTTCTTCGAGTACCCCTTTTCGGGGTTGGTTTAAAGGGAAACGAAACGGGAAACGACCCGTTTGAGGGTTCCCCTATTTTGCCACATACTTGTGTGCTCAGCATGTCCAAGGTTGTTCACCAGATTGAGATGCGCTTGGCCAATCCTGCTCCCCGATTTGAGTGAATGTTGCCTCAAGTTTAACGATCTTCCCCAAGACACGATTGCTTCCTGGTACCCTCCCTTTCAAACCCCCAAGGGGTCCGAAATCAATTTTGAGAAACCTCCAGATTCTGTGGATGGACAAAATCCTCCACTTAGGCTGGATGAAACCCAATGGCTCAAGCATCCGGAGTTGTCTCTTAGTAGATCCTGGTGCAAACCATGAATTGTCCAGCGAGCTTCGCTTTTAGCCAATTACAACATGTATCCTGACTCGGGCAAAAGCTTCTTCCCAAGGATTGCGCAATTTCTTGCTGGTGCTCAGGATCTGAGGGAATGAACCTGGGGGTGCCCTTATAGGAAACCACCAGTCAGATGGCTTATAAGGGTCTCTCTCATTCCATAAGATGGCTTATGCTGGTGCTCAGACCCTGGTGCTCAGATGGCTTATAAGGGTCAGCAAGACTAAAAGAAGGCCACTTTGGCCGGACCGCTCAACTCTCTCCAAGGTGTCGCTTTCGACCCGCCTGGTGAACTCCAGAAAACTTCGGCCAACTGGTGCGCCTGAAAATAGGCAAGCCTTCAAATGGGTGATGTCCCCTTTGTTTCCCTTTAAAACCACCCCAAGAAAGTGTACCCTCAAGAAAGACCCCCCCCCCTACCCCCCATTTGTGGCGATGAAAGTTCCAGAACGCTTCGAGCCCGAAGCGAGGCGCAAAGAAGAAGCCAACCGAGGAAATCAAAGGCCTCCGGGTGACGCAACTACGGCTTGGGAACAGGGGGTTTGGGACATGGTTGAACAAGCAGTTGGGACCCGTGCTAAAAAATATGATATGTCCTTTCAGATGAGTTCCTTTCTGCGGGGTCTCTGCCTAGTCTCCATGACCCTTTAAAAATGGGTGGTCATTGCCCTAATGGGGTCATGGATCTATTTATGATGTGGAGACTCCAGGTGCTCTTTTTGTCAAGGCCAAGGCTCCGAGAAGCGGTGGCTCTTCGGCATCTCCACGAGAGGAACTTCGGTCTCTTGCAGGGCGCGAGGCACTCAGGCACGTGAGACTGGTGGTTTCATTTGTAGATTTCCAGATTTGCTCGCTGCTTCTTGGTTGCTGTTGGCCCCCCTGCCAAAAGTTTACTTTTTGGGGGTTTAGTGGAAAACACCTTTATTTCCCCAAAAGTTAAAGTCTAGAGATCCAACCCAATAGCAGTCAAGGCTTTTGGCTTGAGAGAAAACGGTGCAACTTGCGCAATCGCTGCTGTTTTTGCTTTGTCTGCCCTGACCCTTCCGAGAAGCTGGGAGCCGCACAAATACCGTCGCAGCGGGTCGCATTCAATGCAGAAGCCCGACTGCCTCTGATTGGTACGTGAGTGGGTCCCCCGTGTCTTTTCCGGAAACCACGGAAAGCAAAACGCTTCGACTTGGGAACGTCTCAAAACTCGGTTGCTTTCTGCTCCCCTGCTAAAAGTTTAACTTTTAGTGGTTTGATGGAAAACCCACTAGTTGGCAAAAAAAAAAAAAAGTCCTAACAGCCCTTGGCAAAATGCACCAAAGAAAAACAGAAAGCTGGAGTTGCCAGTCCCGGGCCGTCCCGGGTCCCAACCGCAACCACTGCTTTCTGCGCTTGGGATTTTGGGATTTACCGCATGGCGAGCGAAAAGCAGTTGTTGGATATTGGGTGGCCAGAACGGTGGAATTCAACGGTTCTCAGCAGGGCTGTGGGAAATGGAATCCACGTCTGTGATACAACAAAAAGGGCCTCCAAAGACCAACCACCCATATAAAGAGGGGATTCCCACAAGTATCACAGAAGTGGGGATAAACCCCTTGATCCCCACAACCTGGTTCTCCGTCACTTCCCTTGGGCTGAGGTTCCCGGCAGCTGCACTGTACTTGCAGGTGCCCACTCCTGAAGGATGCCAAAACTCCGAAGAACCGGAATGCCCAGGGTTTCAAGCAAAGGAGCCACGCCCAAAGCTTCTGATTGTTCTTGGGAAGGCCACCTCAGGTCTTTGGATTCTAAGATGCTACAAGTTCTCCAAGCGAGGGCCATGAAAGGTGCCACAGCGCACTTCTGGTTGAGCTAAGGCAATGAAAAGCAGCATCACCTGGAAGACGCCCATGTCTTAAAAAACGTTCCTGTGTTTTGGTTCACTTTGCAGGAAAGCAGTAATGGGTGGTCAAAAGCCTCCCCTATCCTCCCTACAGTGGATTGTGTAGATCTTGCGAGTGAACCGCCCACAAACCACGCAACCATTGCAAATTGCGGAACATCACGTTTCCAACTTGGGTGTGTCTTTATTTGAGGGGGGGTCCAACCTTAAAAACAGGCACACCCACTTGTCCCAACAACTTGCTCTATGTTGAGTTGCAGTCTCTTTTTACTTGGGTTTTGGACGTATCTCACCCCGCAAAATTGCTGGTACACGGGTTTCCTGTAAAGCCAAAAATGGGTTGCCCCCCCAGTGCATTCCCGTGGCACGTCTTCTTGTTCGTTGACTTGAAAGGGAAGTCCCTCCAACACACACAAAAAAAAAAAAAACGGAACAAAAAGAGGCCACCTCTGCCAGCAACCACCCCCCAACTCCCAACTGCTTTGTGCACCCTTGGGATTTGGGACATTTGGACAAACTTGGTTGACGTTGGAAGGGGAGCCAAACTTTCATTTCTAGCAGCTCAGTGGCTTTGGATTTCAACCACTCAACCACAACCAGCGCAAAAATGGTTCTAAATATTTCCCAACCACCATGGAGAACCATCCAAAAAAATGGCTTTAAACCACAACCATCCACAAAATGGGCTTGCCCTTGGCCAAACCCCAAATCGGTGCGCTCGCTGGCGGAGCTCTCCCCGTCCTCGCCGGGCGGCCGGGGTGGAGCTGCCTCCGCGAGGCTCTGCTGGAAGATCCGGTCCACCGTGTCCAGCCAATGCTTCAACCTCGCGGGTCGCGCTAATCGGGGTGTGTGTGTGTGTGTCTTTTGTTTGCTGCTTTTTTTTTCATGGGGAACAAAAGGAGAACCACCAATTTTAGGGGAGGTCCAATCAAAGACACACCCACTTTGGGATTTTGGACATGAGAAAAACAAATTTTTAAAAAAAAAAAAAAAAAAAAAAAAAAAAAAAAAAAAAAAAAAAAAAAGTTGGGACCCGGGTGCTGGCAACGCAGTTGCTCCCAGCGGCGGGCTCTCTCGACCCTGGGCATCGTAGAGGTTCCTGAGCTGCGATCTCATCAGGAGTCCAAAAAAGGCGGGGGCTGCACTTGACTGTGGATGTGTTCCATTGGTCGAGGTCAATGCACTCGCTTAAAAACCTGGACCAATTTCAGGTGTCAGTGTCCTTTTTGGTTGTTTTGGTAGAAAATAGATGGCAATTCCGATTCCTGATTGCCTTGAAACGATCGCCACTTTTGGAGGTTCCGTTTAAAGGGAAATGGCGCGGAATCCCTGCAAAGGCGGGGGCAATCCAACTGATCCGACCGGAACTAGGACCCCGTTCTTAGACTCAGCCTAAAAGTTCCAGACATTTTGGGGCCACGACTACACATTGACCCAAACAGGAAAAACCAAAAAGGTCGTCAAAATGTCGATTCGCTTTAAGCTTTGGGCAGAGGGAAGGAGCCAATCTGACTTTACATCCGAATTGGGAAGCCACTGGGCGACCCTTTCCGAAGGACTACGGATTGCCGGTCCAGTTCTCACGTGGTCCCCTGAACTGCGAAGAGCTGAGCTCGTGTGAAAGGGAGCTTTTGGTGGACATCTAGGGGGCTTTCGTCCGCCAACCACTTTTGAGGTGGTTCAAAATGAACTCCACAGTCACAGGGGTCACAGGAATTCCAATGAAAAATTGACCAATTTACTGGTGTCCACTTTTCTCTGCCACTTTCGGAGGTTCCTTTTAAAGGGAAATGGCTCGGAAACCCTCAGTCATATTGGCTAAAACCTGAATCCCAAGGCGTGTCTTGGACGCAAGCCAGGCCAACCTGGACAGGGGGATGCACCACGCAGGGGATCCGTGCATACAACCACCACTGAAATAGCACAACATGTTGACCCCGCATTGTTTATTAATAGGGGGGTGTCCCTGGGTGGAGGGGAACACCCCCCACATTTGTAAACTGGGGTTGGTTAAATTGGGGTTGAACAATACAACCACTTTACTGTTGTTGGCACGTGTTTAGGTTTTTTCCGGTGGTTTGGCTCTGTTCAACCAAGATGTTGGCGACCTATCCCACACCTCAATCCTTTGGACAACTGGTGAATACAATGTCAACGATGGCAAGGCTTTCGCTTGCACCCCGGAAACGCAAAACAACTCCGGAGCAAAAGCTCGATCGACACACGTTTAGGAGTTTGGGATCGTTCCGGGGCCCTTGTTTGCGGAATGCTTCACAACACTACCCGATCAACACAAAACAGAACGCCATCCATCCATCCATCCATCCATCCATCCATCCATCCATCCATCCATCCATCCATCCATCCATCCATCCATCCATCCATCCATCCATCCATCCATCCATCCATCCATCCATCCATCCATCCATCCATCCATCCAAACCAAACAATCAATCAATCAATCAATCAATCAATCAATCAATCAATCAATCAATCAATCAATCAATCAATCAATCAATCAATCAATCAATCAATCAATCAATCAATCAATCAATCAGTCAAAGCAAGCAAGCAAGCAAGCAAGCAAGCAAGCAAGCAAGCAAGCAAGCAAGCAAGCAAGCAAGCAAGCAAGCAAGCAATCAATCCAATCCAATCCAATCCAATCCAATCCAATCCAATCCAATCCAATCCAATCCAATCCAATCCAATCCAATCCAATCCAATCCAATCCAATCAATCCATCCATCCATCCATCCATCCATCCATCCATCAATCAATCAATCAATCAATCAATCAATCGAACAATCAATCAATCAATCGAAGCAATCAATCAATCCAAACAATCCAACCAAGCAACCAACCAACCAGCCAGCCAGCCAGCCAGCCAGCCAGCCAGCCAGCCAGCCAGCCAAACCAACTAACCAACCAAGACCATCCCAACCACCCAACCACCCAACCACCCAACCACTCAACCAACCACCCAACCAACCAACCACCCAACCACCCAACCACCACATCACCCAACCAACCACCCAACCACCACATCACCCAACCACCCAACCACCCAACCACCCAACCACCCAACCACCCAACCACCCAACCACCCAACCACCCAACCACCCAGCACCCAACCAACCAACCACCCACCCAACCACCCAGCCACCCAACCAACCACCCAACCACCCAACCACCCAACCACCCAACCACCCAACAACCCAACCACCCGACCACCAAACCACCCAACCAACCAAGCACGCTCGCAAGCAAGCAAGCAAGCAACCAACCAACATTTCAAATTTCAACGTTCAAACCGCGCCACCCCTCTTGTCCCTTCGAGCCGCAACCCAGCTGCAAGCTGCGCTCGCTGTGCGCTGGGCAGCGGCGGCCAGCCGGCACCTCGCAGGGGATTCACTGAGTGGAAGTCGTAGACGCCCAGCGGAAGTCATTTGGGTCGGCTTTTCCCTTTGGCTTCCCTTAAATTCAGCCCAAAAAGGGTACCAACTCAACAATATTAATCAACCCCAGTTTAGTAATATCGGGTGTGCCTGTTCAAAAGTGGCCTGAGTCCCCACATGTGACGTGATGAGTATGGGGTGAACATTGCCGCAAAAAGTATGTCTTCCACCGAAAGAAATAAAAATAACAACATATCGGCGCCTTGGCCCCTCACCATCATCGCCAGAGTGGCCATGGCCCGCGACACCTGCGGTTCGGACTCACCCTCCTCCACCAGCTCCTGGCGAATGGATGGCTCATTTGGGGGCTTCTCACAATGGCGCACCCCTTTTGGGGGGTATGAAAAAGGTAAGCAAAAGGAAACCACACATTTTAGGGGACCCGTACTTTGAGAAACACCCCTGTGTGTGTGTGTGTGTGGAGTGCATCTGGGTGCCTCTCTGTGTGTGTGCGTGTGACTGAATTTGTGCGTGTGTGCGCATGGATGCATGTGTGAATCTGTTTAGGGGTAGGTGCGCACGTGTGTGTATGGTTGTATCAGTTTGTGTATGTGTGTGTGTGTTTTCGGCTATATGTGAGTGCTCGTGCGTGTGTGTGCTATTGCTTGTGTATGGCTGTGGGTGTGTTTGTGTGTGTGTGTTTGTGTTTGTGTTTGTGTTTGTGTGTGCTTCCTTGTGGTTGCGTTTGTCTATGTGTGTGTGTGTGACTCTATGAAGCTGCGCCTATGTGTGTGTGTGTGTTGTGTTGCGTGTGTGTTTGCTTGCTTGCTTGATTGCTTGTTTTCTTGCTTGCTTGCTTTGCTTGCTTTGTTTGCTTGCTTTGTTTGTTTGTTGTGCTTGTTGGTTTGGTTTTTGGTCGGGATTGCTTTGCTTGTTTTGCTTTGCCTTGCTTTGCTTACTTGCTTGATTGCTTGCTTGCTTGCTTGCTTGCTTGCTTGCTTGCGTGCTTCCGTGCTTGCGTGCTTGCGTGCTTGCTTATTTGCTTGCTTGCTTGCTTGCTTGCTTGCCTGCTTGCTTGCTTGCTTGCTTGTTTGCTTGTCTGTCTGTCTGTCTGTTTGTGTGTTTGCGTGTTTGTGTGTTTTGCGTTTGTGTGTCTATGTGTTTGTGTTTGTGTGTGTGTGTGTGTTTGCCTGTTTCCTTCTTGCTTGCTTGCTTGCTTGCTTGCTTGCTTGCTTGCTTGCTTGCTTGCTTGCTTGCTTGCTTGCTTGCTTGCTTGCTTGCTTGCTTGCTTGCTTGCTTGCTTCCTTGCTTCCTTGCTTCCTTGCTTCCTTGCTTCCTTGCTTCCTTGCTTCCTTGCTTCCTTGCTTCCTTGCTTCCTTGCTTCCTTGCGTGCTTGCCTTTTGGTTGCTTGGTGTGTTTGTTTGTTGGTTGGTTGCTTCGTCCTGTCCTTCTGTCTTTGTTTGTCTGTCTATCTCTGTTTGTCTCTCTGTCTGTCTGTCTGTCTGTCAGTCTGTCTGTCTGTCTGCCTGTCTGTCTGTCTGGCTGGCTGGCTGTATGTCCGTTCGTCTCCGTGTGTGTTGGTTTGCGCGTGTGTGTTTTTTGTTGTGTGAGGTGTGATGATGTGCAAATAATGTACTTGTCTGTTTATCTTTTCTTTTCTGTGCGTGTGTGGGTTTGTTGTGTATCTGTCAATGTGTTTGTGTTTAGGTCTGCGCGCGCGTGTCGAAGAATTTGCACGTGTGCCAGCGCGTCTGTGCGTGTGCCGGCGTGTTTGTGCGCGGGTTAGGTGTGCGTGGTTGTGGCTGTGTGTGTGTGTGTGCGTGGGTGTGTGTGTGTGTGGGTCTGTTGTGTGTGTGTGTGTGTTGTGTGTTGTGAGTGTGCGAGGGTGTTCCGTATGTGGCCGGAGTTACGTATGAGAGGTTCTGTTTGCGCCACCCCCCTCCCCATCTCCCACCCTCTCCCACCAACCCCCCACCAACCCCCCACCAAACCCCCCCACCAACCCCGCCCCCCACCCCCGACCCCCCACCACGCCTTGCCCCACCTGGCCAGCTTCAAGTGGAAGACGCGCGCCAGCAGCGGCCCCAACGATCCGCTCACGTCCAGGCCGCAGAGCTTCAGGGACAGCTGCCCCAGTAGCACCTTGGAACTTGCCCCCAACCCCCTCGGAAGCAACCAAGAGAACAGCAACACTTTTTGAGGGGCCCCACCCCCCACCCTATTATAAACAGGGGTTGATGAATATGGGGTCAACGTTAGTTGACTAGGTCCTCCAGATTTGAGAGCATAGAATAAGTTGGTAGTTCTTTCTGTAGACTATTTTAGTAAGGGGAACCCCCAACCCCAAAAAGGACAAGACGTAGATGCCTTAGATTGGGGCCAGACTGGGGGTTCGACTTTGGTGTCCCTGTTAACCAATCCAAACATCGAAACATCGGAAACTACCATTTGGAGCACATTGGATTTGAGAGGTAAGAAGAAGTCGGTACCCGATTTTTTTGAAGTAGTCTATTTTAGTAGGGGAGCCCTCCCCCAAAAAAGAAACGGTAAAAGGGCACTACTGGGGGGACCTAGGCTCCCCTTTAAGGATGGTCGACGATGGAGTCATGAAGTGGACCAAGGCCGGCTTTTCCCGGGATTCGAACTTGTGATTTTACAGCCATAAGTATGACAGGCACCTTGCGGGGGCATTAGTAATGTGGAAATGGGATGAGCCGCGAGCAACCTTGTTGCTTTTTGCAGCAGAAGCAGCTCCCCTTCAAGGATGGTCCCTATGTTTTCCACAAGGATTCGTTTGTCAAAACTCCCCTGTTGGTTGCCAATTTTGGAGTGTGTTATTTTTGGTGGGTCTGTTTTCAAGCTTTCCTTTACCTCCATTTGGGCGTGTTTTTGTTTGAGAGGTTGGACCACCAAACATGCTGGTGTTCTTTCTTTTTTAACCCTGGGATTCAAACCAACATTCAAACCATGGGGGGTCAATGTACATATATATATATATATGTATTTATTTATTTATTTATTTAGAATCACCACTGTTTACCTAGGATTGGCATCATCTACATTGGAGCAGGTATTCTTTTCGTGGGAGTGGAACCCTAGGTTAAGGTTGGACCCCACCAAAATGGCCAAACGGGTTCTTTTGTTTTCCTTGTCCAAACAACAGGGGTACCCTCAAAAATGGGCGTTGTCCCCGGCAAAATGTGCAAAGATGTCCAGTGCTAGACCTAGATTCCCTTTAGAACCAACAGGGGAAAATAACAAATCTTCTTAACCGAATGGAACTTTAACTTGGCCATTGTTGCCTCTACGAGTTCTGTTTCCATGTTGGGTGAGCAACCCTGTGAATGGGGCCTTTTACCAAGTGAGCTCTGCAAAAAGAAACAACCACGTAACATCTGGTCATGTTTCAACCCTCAACCTGAGAATCTATTACTGTGCGTTTACCGTCATCATTGATTTAAATGTTTACCATCATCATTTTGGCAAAGGGCAAGGATGCAAGAGTGAAGGAAACGTTGACCCGAAAAAGACACCCATACGGGTCAATCAACTCCCCCGTTCCCGAAAACCCGGAGAAAAGCCGCCGTTGGTGTTGCGGGCAAAACAACCCAGCTCTGGTGACTTGACTGAACAGAATGTGCACCCCAAAGGTACTGTAACAAAAGAACATCTCGCAAACGCAAACGATTTTGGAGCGTTGCGGCTGGGTGTTCCACTCAAACCAGCGACAAGCGATCACCTCGCGGAGATTCGATGCTTCCGTGACCCTGTCAACATGAAAGTATACACGGCCACTCCAACGGCAAAGTAGCCTTCCAAATGGTCTAGAAAACGGTTTGCATGTGACGTTCGTGGATCCGCCCTTGTAGGATAGCAAAAGAGTATTAATTGACTATTTTACAAGAACCTACAGGGGGAAGAACAGGTGACATCCACAAACATCGCATCCACGCCGTTTTCTAGAAATGGGGTGCCGCGCTCCATATTCGCTTGTGAAAGGATAAGAGCTTCTTCCGGAAGAAGTTAAAGGTGGAGGCTTTCCCTGCCACATCCCAAAACCCTAAACCCTCATAGAGGTCTGGTTGTGTCTCAAACATGAAGGACTGCTGAAACCGCCTTCCTTGCAAAACCATCCAACAGTTGGCCCCTCATGTTGAGACAGAGCCACCCTTTCAACATTGCCCCACCAACGACAAATCGAAGAGGCGAGGCTTACATCACCTAAAGGCAATGTTTATGGCTATATAGGTGTCAAAGCGACCAGGAACCCTTATATATGTATATATATTTATTTAAAAAAGGGGGAAAAAAAAACGCGGAGAAAGTGTCCAGCCAACCAGTTAGAAGCCGCATCCGACTCAAAAGCCGCGGCGCCATGTAGAGGAACACAAAGCCGAGCTGTCGGTTGACGCCGCTCTCATCGTCCTTGCAAAGAGCTCAAGTTCCCAGAAACCCACTGGATTCCCATGGGGAAAAAGGCAGCGGTTTGGGGTACCATGGGGAAAAGGGCAGCGTTTTTGGGGTCCTTGGTTCATGTTGAACGGACACCCCGGTGGGAAAAAAAAAGAAAAAGACGGCGCCGCTGGGTATCTGGGAATTACACTGGCCTCGTGTAACTGAATGAGATTCTACAAATGGATCGGGTTCCTCGGGATCCATGTTAGTCACGGGTATAGTAAGGTGTCCACCCCCAAAAGTCAAGGACAGCCTCCAAAATGATTCCTGCCCTCACCAGGGGGAACTCCAAAAATTGGGTTCCGTTTCCCCAGCAAAACAGAACACGTGTCCAACAAATCTCAACCAGGACCATTTGTTCTTAGGGCCTTCAGTTTGGGATTCATCCATGGAAGGCACAGATCTGCAATTCTTACTATAATTCCAAAAGCTGAATCAAGAATTGGATCCCCAAGCAGCTCGGACCTTGATCATGGTCCCTCGTACCCCGCGAATCGGTGAGCTCGCGCAGACTCTCTCTCGGAGCTTCCTGCAGCAGCTCGTCGCTCCAAATGATCTTCATCAAAGCCTCCCCCTCCACCTCTCCAGAGGGCGGTTGAAATGGAATCCACTTCTGTACAACAAGGGCCTAACCCCAAAGACATTTCCCCCCAAGGCGGAGATTCCCAAAAGTATCAGAGTGGTTGGATACACCCCGAGTGATCAGATGATCAGCCGCAAGCCTGGAGTCCGAAGGGCATCGGCAAAAACGCGCGCCGAACTGTTCGCCTGTCTCCGAATGCAAGTATCTTAGAGTTGATGAGGATTGCTGTGAGGGCGCACACCCCTGTCCCTCCATCCATCCATCCATCCAGCCAGCCAGCCAGCCAACCAGCCAGCCAGCCAGCCAGCCAGCGATCCATCCAGCGGGTATAGAAAACAACTACCCGCCTCCCCAAATCCAAAAGCTTAGGAGTAGTCCCAAGACCTTTGCAAGGCAAGACTTTGTGGGGCCGGATGTGAAGTCCAACCTGGACCCCGGCGTTTGCCACGGGCCACATTTAAATTGATTCTAACTCCTTTCGCGGGGGGTCCTTAAAATATGGTTGAAGTGCCATCCCAAAGTTCCTTGACATCAGGTCACGAGCTGGGCAGCACAAAGAAAAGCAAACTGCCGCTGATCTCCAGACCGGAACAGCGGTACCTCTCAATGAAAAAAGACTTCCCCCAGCCCCCAGCAGGTCGCCAGAAACGCGTTTACTCTTGGGCCCAGAAGGGGCTGGTTGTTTTTGTTTTATCCCCGTAACTTCCCTGAACTGGAATAGCCAACCAATAAGAAATGCCGAGCACAACTCCGGCCTCGTTGCCCGAAGCAGGATACCCGCAAGAAGAATGATAAACATGCGCTCTTACCAGCCGGTGTTTATTTAATGGGGGTGAGCCTTGTTTGATTCACGGGAAAGGATTGCACGTGCTGTTTGCCTCAGAAGTCAGAATCACTCGTGGATATTGTTCACAATTGTATAGCTTCTCAGTAATTGTGAGGTGTCAAACAAAACCAGCTCTAGCAGGGTTGCCTTTCTTACCCCTTCGAGCATCACACGAGCAGGAAACTCACCTCAAATTGGCCAAGGAGGTGATGCTTGAACCACCGAAAAGAAAAAAAAAGGACTCCGAGTCTAGCACATCGTGAGCTCCTGGCTCGCGAACCAACCGCCTGCTCAGGCCACTCAGCCGTCTGCGGTGCGTTCTCCGGAAGGGCCGGGTGCCTGCGCAAGCCCGATCCATGGCAATGCAGCTGGGTTAAAAGTGGAACAAGATGTTGGACAACTGAGCAAAGGGCAGACAAAAACCGGCAATTGCTGGAACTTGCTGGTGCTTAGCAGGAATGAGGGAATGACTCCGAAGAACCATCCCCCGTGGTTTCCTTTAAGGGAATCGCCAGGTTCCTTCCCACAACCCTGAACTCCTTCCCTACCTATCCCACCAGCAAGCAAAGCGGGCAACAAGACCGTCGGTGCGCTCAGAGTTGAAACCTGAAGCCCACCATAGCCTCGACGGACCAAAAGGCTCGGCCTGAACTGCAGGCGCCGCAGGCGGCTGCCCTGGCCCAGCACTTGCCGCGACTGCGCGTTCAAGCGGCTCCAAGGCTGTCCTGCGCGCAATTTGTGTCCGGCGTGGGGCGTTCAAGTGGTCGGGTAAAGCCTGGGGGGTTGTCAAAAAAAAAGAAGAAACGGCCATGCCCAAGCTATGAGGAACCACCAATTGGGCCTTACCGGTTCCAACACATTCTTAAACTATAACATTTGAAGTACGTTGTCCACGTGTGGTGGTCCCTTCAAGCCATGTTTGATGTTCCCTTAAACGGCGGCTCCTTGCCCGGAGAAAAACATCTTCTGGAAGTATCCCCCTTTCGCAGGGATCCTACAACAAGACCATGCTTGATCGTACAATTCGTGCAGCAAACAGATGCCAAAGCCCTCAAACTGTCAAAAGTGGTGCTTCAAAGTACCGTGCTTCTTCGAAGAAGCGATCTAGAACGCTTGTCCAAACACCTAAGGTGAATGAGCAGAACAGCAAATCCCCAAGGCCAGAACTAGCCGCACAGTCCGGCCCATGGATCGCAACCCAAAGCACCAATGAAACGGGGCAAGTACCTCCCCCTCAAAAAGGGCTCCAGGCTTCCGCAGGGGACATGCCTTCTCAATGCTTGGAACCGTTCTACAGGGTTCTATACCCAGACATGAATTTACTTGATGATTTCTTTCCCAACCCCCCCCCCTCAACGCACTGAGTACTCCTTCTCTTTTGGCGCCGCTTCACAAGCAATCTGGGCCCCTGGGACTGGAAATGGAACCCCGTTGTTTTCCCTGTGGTCAAAACCAGCTAAGATCCAAGAAATCAAACAGGGGACCCGATGGTGATGCCTGTGCTGCTTCTGATGCTGGTGATGCCTCTGTTGCTGGTGATGCCTAAAAGTATCTACCCAGAGCCAAGGCTCAAAACAGAAACCACTAGGACCCCCAGGCGTGATTTCCAAAGCAAAAACATCAGGGCCCAGAGGCATGAATTCAACAACAAAAAGCGGAGCCAGGCGTGTTTTCCAAAGAAAAAGCACTCCGGCCCACAGGCATGAATGCATCAAAAACAACAAACAAGCACCGGGACCCCCAGGCGTGATTTCAAAAAACAAAAACAAAACACCGAGACCCCCCAGGCGTGATTTCAAAACAAAACAAGGGATCAAGGTGTGTTTTTTGCTCACTCACTTGCTTGCTCGCTTCGTCTAAAAAAAAACTCAAAAAGAGGGATTTCAAAATAAACACGGCTGGCGTATACATATATATATATATATGTATGTGTATATATATATATATATATATATTTGACAAAGTTCCCTCAAAAAGCCACAAGACATCAACATCCGTGAGCCACGACCTTTTTGTCGCTAGTCGCCACTTTGCCAACATCCGAGGTACACAGAATGTATGATGTCTAACTCCGTATATAAACGAAATGGAGAAGACCCCACATGTAACGAGGATATCCACTATGTTAGTGAATCGTCAATCCCTTGCTAAAAGTGTATTTTGTTGGTGGGGTGTGCCACAAATCCAACTCTAAACTCTACAACTGAGGGTATGGGAACCGCCAAGGTCACTAGGTTTCAGCACCTCCCCCTTGTTGGCCCCACTATTTCAGCATTGGCAGAGTCACCCCCTAGGTAAGATATAGGTATATATATATATATATATATAGATACATTCCCCCCCCCCCCCAAACTTCTCTGGCACTTGGGATTTTGGCTGCATGCTAAGCAGTTGTTAAAAAACCGTGCTGCCAGTCTCTGACTTTGATAACCCCTTAAGGAAGCCAAACTTTTGGGTGCGAACGGAAACCAAAAGGAACACCGTTGCACCCATTTTGGAGGGTCCAACACCGTTGCGCCATTTTGGACCCAAGTCATGACCCCAGCCCTCTTTCGGTGACTCCTCCATGTTGCGCGGGAGAGGCTCGCAGAACTACGCTCTGCTGGCCCCTGGCAAACCGCCCGCATACGAGTCGCTGACACCCTCTGGAAACCGGGCCTGTTGTTGAAAGTGTGGCAAAAACATAGACATACTAGTATGCGTAGATGTGCGTAATGTGTGCACTTATATATATATATATACAATGCCGTACTTATAATTGTGCACGTATATACATTATGCGGAAAATGGGTAATATGAGTATATACGCCCAGAGCGAGCAAACACCTTGCCCCGAACAACTCGGTTTCGTAAGGAAGATGTTTGTTCAATGGATTGCTTTGGGACCTTTTCTGCTTTCTCTTCGTGTTTCCGGGCCTCATGCGATTGTTTGGGAAATCAGGTCCTTGAATTTGATGGATCCGACCCCCGGATTTGATCCATGGGAGGGCCGGAAATCTTTGGTTGCTTGTTGATTTCACCTTTGACCTCCAACTCGTTGACCTTTGAAACGCCAAAGTTTCGAGCTAAGTTCGCACTTCCTGAGTGGATTGCCCAGAAACAATCTAGACTTTTGTTTACAACTACAATGGTCCAAACCCAGAAAGTTTAAATTGCAGGAGTGAGACTAAGAAGTGGCACGTTTCGGGCCAAGATGCTGCCAGCTTCCCTTGCGGAGGTCAGACCCCTACGGTGGAACCAAAGCAATGCGCATGTTCCATGTGGGAAGGTGCAAACCATTGTTGAACTGCCTTCCAACTTTCAGGTAAACTTCTGACGTTTGCTCCATGCAGAAGTTGGTGGCCCATGTGCTCATCGTCGCTTGGCCCGCGAGCGTAACATCCAACCACACTCCGGCGAGCCGCGAATTTTGCGGATGCTACCAACTCAAATAAACTGACACGGGTATATGGGTCAAAATTCAGCCACCGGGAAAATTGTTGAGAAAACAAAAGAAGCAAAAAAAGAAGAAGCAACAACAACGCTGGCTTGAGTCCTTGCTTCCCTTAAAACCCAGGGCTTGCGCCGTTTTGGGGCGTTCCCCGATTTTTTCACCCCCCACCCCAAGTTGGCTGCGCTCAGAGCGCCTGGCTTTGGCCCCCAGAAGCTCCAGCCGGGCCTGGAGTCAGACCCGAGACGCGAAGTCGGGGGCCCGAAGAGTCACTCGAAAAATGTGTGGCCGACATGAGGCACCCAAAATCAGATATGTTTCTTGGTTTTACTATTGGAGCTAATCATGAGGCATAACTAACTATTGGCTTTACTAGAGCATACTGTCCCATTTGTTGGTTGTACTCTTGGAACTTCAGGCATACTGTACTCATGTACTCAGAGCCAATCAAAATGTTTCGCCCACACATGTCCAGACATCCAGGGGAAAGGTGTTTTGGGACCCGGTCCGGAGTGGACTTTTGTTAAAGGCGCCTCTTTTTAAGGTCCAAAAGAGGTGAGAACTTGATATGCACCCCTTTTGGGGGGGTCTTAAAGGGAAGCAGAAAAGGAAAGCCACCCCTCGTGTGGGTCTCCTAAACAAGACACCCCTTTCTACGGTTTCTATTTCTGGCTTGTGCCAAACGACTTGCGGACACCGGCAAGCATTACTGTGTCCCTGAAAAGGGTAGGTCCACGGGGGGGGATAGCTAAGAGCCCTAGAATTCCTTAAGCTTTTTGGGGGTGTGTATGCAAGCTAACCAAACGGCACCACACACAAGCACGCGATAACTCTTTTATCCGAGCAGTGTGTTGGTGCCAGGGACTCATCTTCCCCTGTCAGATGACAAAGGCTGGGTGGGCCCCATGGGCCACCCAACTCACAATCTCAAAAACTGAAGAACGGGTGTGCAGACTGATAGCGCCCGCCCCTGAGCCGGGGCCCGTGGCACCCAGGCCACAGGGGGGTCTGCCACCAGGGGAAGTGAGTCGCCCACCGGCTCCGGTCACGGGAGCATGGGTGGGCCCACGCTAAGATCAAATGCATCTCCATTCAGGAGACGCGGGAGAAAAACGAACTCCTCGCAGAGTTCCTGCTTGGGGACCCTTTGCAAAGGGTCGAACCCAGAGAAATCTGGGTGCGTCAGCTCATCAGCCCATTGATTGAATTCACGGGGCACGTGGTTGGCCGCCAGCGAGCAGCCATGGGTGTGGAGCAGGAAGACCAGCTCCATCAGGATCGCCGCCGTGTAGGGCTTCTTGGATCCAAGGTTGAGCATCGCCATGACGTTGCCCTGATTGTCACTGCCCACCGGGAGTCGGACCCGGGAGGACAGAGGGCCTTGGTGCGTGAGGATCATGTTACAGAGGAAGAGCGTGCCCAGCATCTCCAGAGCCGCAATCCTCCGCTTGGGATCCCCATTCTTGAAAGCCCAAGGGTACTCCTCCACGTGGATCTGCTCGTGGAACCAGTACACCTCCTTCTTTTCCGGCTCCACTTTGTTGGAGCACCAACCTCCCACAAATGCCAGTCCTTCGTCCGAGGCGCTAGCATCGCTGCAACCCCACCAAGAGGACTTCGGCAAGTAAGGGGAGTACTGGACGAAAGGCGTGTTGAAGAGGAACCGCAGCATGAACGCCAGCATCCTGACCACCTTGGGGGGTTTCCCCACCGTGGCAAGCGTTCCAGCTGGCGCCGGGATGTAGGGTGGCTCCTCACCTCTTCTTCATCCTCCCTGTCCCAGCCGTCCACCGTGATCTTCTTGTGGGTGGATGAGGGGCGTTCCCCTTCTTCCGGGAGCGCGCTCACGATGTGTTTTGCCGGGATGTAGCCCAGCTCACCCTTGGCAATCATGCGCCACTGCTTCTTGAGGTAGCCATCACTCCCTTGGAACTCCAGCTTCACACGGACCCCAGCACCCGCCTGGCCCGCCGGGTGATCACCTTGGTTGCCCCCCCGGATCAAGCTGGCTGCCACCCGGACTGCCTGAAGGAGGCGCATCGCCGTGAAGGCCGAGGTCTGGGCGTTGAACCCGTTCTCCCCATCCCGGAATCCCAGGTCCCGGGGACCATTCTCCCTAGCCGCCGCCGGGGTGTCCCAGCGATCCGCCAGGTCTTCCACCGTGACGTATCCCGATGCGCCCAGAGCCGCCTGGGTGGCCCAGGGGATCTCCTTCCCCACCAGGATGGCCGCCAGTGGCTTGTGCAACTTTGCCACGTCCTCCTTGAACTCCACTGGGACCTCCTCCGGTGGTTTGGCCGCCATGACCTCTGACCTTGGTGTGGGTGGGTGGGTTTTTCACACAAATTGGGTTCAAAGAACCCAGGGCAAAGCTTGAGCCAAAATGGCATGCGCCATTATGGTCAAGCATTGCCAACACAGTTCATGTTTCCACATGCGTTTCAACATTAACAAAGTGTATGCAAGCTAACCAAACGGCACCACACACAAGCACGCGATAACTCTTTTATCCGAGCAGTGTGTTGGTGCCAGGGACTCATCTTCCCCTGTCAGATGACAAAGGCTGGGTGGGCCCCATGGGCCACCCAACTCACAATCTCAAAAACTGAAGAACGGGTGTGCAGACTGATAGCGCCATTTCCGAAGGACAGTCTGGCACACCCGCCATTTCCGAAGGATGCCAGTCTGTGCTGAGGGCCCTGGCCAGAGCCCCACTCCGGGCCTCCCATCCCCTTGGTCGCCAGGGCCGGGGGCACCTAGGCTGCCAACGGGGCCACCACCTCGGTCTCCGACTGGGTGTCCACCGAGTCATTCGTTTCAGAGCCCGAGTCCGCCGAGGAGTCCGAGTCCTCCTGCAGCGTGGGGACCTCCGCAGGTTCCAGTGCCCAGTCCGCCGGGAAGCCATGCCTCTTGAAGCAACGTTCGCACTTGCCATAGGCCTCCTGCTCCGTCATGTAGTCCAGCACAGAGCTCCTGGACCTTCCGGTCCTGCGTCCGTGATGTCCACTGCTGGCGGCGGGAGCGGGTCCGCCCAGTCCGGGTGATTCAAGTCCTCCCTGCGTTCCCTGCCTGGCCCGAGGTTCAGGTTGGGGACCTTCTGCGCTACCTGGCCCCAGATCTCCACAACCACGTTGCGCTTCTCCCGCACGTAGACATCTGCCGTGCTCTCCGTGAGCCAGTTGCCAAGGTACATGCGGCGCTCCCGGGGGATCCCCATCTGGAAGGCGCAGTCCGGGATGAACACCCGGAACGAGCGCCACGACAGCGGCTTCACCAACCGCGGGGTGACACCCCGACGGAGAATAGCATCCTTGAGCCATCTCAGAGCCCTTTCCGGTGTGGAAGGCCGCGGGATCAGCCCTGCAAAGTCTTTGCTCACCGTCGGGAGCAAGTAATCCATGTCCCGGAATGCCTCCTCGGATACCAACCGCCTTACCGAGGCCACCCAGGTAGTCCACCAGGGGATTCCCGTGAAGCTGTACTTCGGAGCAATCAAGGGGACCGGGTTGCGGTTGATTCGTGCTGCAGAGACCGTCTTGGTCTGCCAGGCCTTCAGCTCCACAGTGTTGCTGGTGTGGATAAGGTCCTTGGGGTGAACGTGCTGGAGGTCATTGAAGCGAGCGCTGCAACCAACCTGGAACCGGGCGAAACCCAGGATGAAAGCGTCCAGCACCTCGTGTCTGCTCTTTCCCGGGGCCTCCTGCGTGCCGGGGCCGGTGGCACCCAGGCAATCGTAGCCGGCCCCCTCCTCCAGAGCCCAAATGACCTCTTTGCTGGGAACCACCGCCTTACGCTGTGGCCTTCTTGGACTTGAGGCGATGGAGCTCATCTACCTTCAGCAATCCAAAGGTCTTTGAGAACCACTTGAGGGTGTTCCACACCTGCCGCAGCTTACATGGGGTGACCTCCTCATCGGCGAGCTGGTTGAGGAGAGAGCGGACATGTCGTTCCTGCCAAGGAATGACGGTGAAGCCTCTCTTGCGGAGACTCTCGTAGACCAGGCAATGTTGCCTGAGCGTCCGGAACCTGCTGTCCCCCAAGAGGTCCAATGCCTCCTTGCGGAAGTCCTCCCCCAGGATGTCCTGCATGTATGCAATGTGCTCCGCAAAGGGGGCGAAGTGGGCAAGGAGCCGTTCCGCCCATTTCCCGCGCATATGGAGTTCCAGCGCTCTCTGGGTCGTGGGCTCCATTTCCCTGATCTTCCCGGGCCGCCAGTGCCTCCACTTCAGAAGCTCCGGCTGTTGGAGTGGGGGCGGGTCATCTCGCGAGAACCACCTCAGTTGGTCCTGGCGGTCCCATTCATTCTCCAGCGGGGAAAAATTCTCGCTCGGCTTGCCATCCGTAGCCGCCATGAAGAGGAACCATAGGCTATCCCAAAGGTCGGCCAGGTCCGCCGCGGACAAAGGCTGGGGAAGCCTGCCCGCCGCCGACGCCACCAGGCCGTTGAAGTAGTCCGTTGGTACCACTTGGTCATCTTGGCCCACCGGAATGCCCGAGAGTTCCAGGATCTGAGCGAAGCGGATGGCCGGCTCCCCGCCCAGCTGCCTCCCTTCCTCTGCCGTGCCATGGCGCAGGCACATCAGAACCAGCAGCTCCCCGTCCGTCTGTCTCGGGGAGAAGGACTCATCCGCCAACGTGTCCCACAGGACCCTTGGAATGCGGTCCCAAAGACGAGTGTAAGGCGGGCGCAAAAGAAACTTTGCAGAGACCCTAGCCATGATGAAAATGGGGGGTTCGAGCCTCCTATTGAACGGCCGGGACCCAACCGCGGCACACTGCACGCATGTTCCAACCCCACAGGATGCCGAGTGCAAATGGGGCAGGCAGGCCACATGCAGCCCAACAGGACCCAAAAGTCAACCCCCGGAAATCCCCAAAAAGGACCACGGAGGGGGGAAGACCAACCCGGCGGGGGATTCCCAAAAACCCCCAAGGGGACCTCAGGGAACCCAGAGTCAGCCGCAGCCACTTTCTCCAAACTGTGGCCGATATGGCCCGTCCTTGGGGCAGCCAAAGCGTGCAGCCTCCAGATCGAGGCAAACCGGCATCCAAAAAGGCTGTGAGACACGACCTACCCTTCAAGATCGCCTCCTTAGCCACCGAGTGGATGGCCGCCAGCCCTGACTTCTCCGAGTTGCTCAAGATGACCGACCACAAGGCAGTGGAGACATCCCCCAGGCCATTCGAGGAGCTGAAGCGCATGCGCGGGGTGCTCGCATCGCCAAGGACTAGCCGCAGGCTCTGTCGGCTCCACCCGCTTGTAGAACTCCATCCTGTCCCGGATCCACTGATTATATAGCTGCTCCGGGGGCTCGTCCATCACCAGCTGCAGGCATGTGGCCTTGTCCTTGGTCCCCCCGCGGCTCGCCCTCCAGAAGCCCTTGCAGAACCTGCACATGTAGCCCCCGGTGGTCTTGAACTTCTCCTTGCCCACCACTTCCCAGGCGCTGATGCTGGGCAGGACCAGGCCGCACTCCACGGAGGCCCAAAACACGTCCTTCGAAAAGTGCTTGTTGATGTACTTCCGGCCCGCGACCGCCGTGACCGTGGACGTGGTGATAGGAGGGTACCGCCTGGTGCCCTGGTCCGGCGTGCGGAGCGTGGTGTCCGCCCCCCCCAGAATCTTGGCCTTGGGGTCCGATTCCTTGGCCGCTCCTCCCCCGGGGCCAGAGGCACCCAAGGGGGGGGAGCAACCCAGCTGCCTGATAAGGTCCTGGGAGTAGCCCAACCGGTCGTACAGGGCCCCCGCGGGACCTGCTCCACCCAGTCGTGGACCACGTTGCAACGCCAGTTGACCTTGACCTCCACCATGGAGGACTTACTCAGGCCCGACACCAGCTTGGTGTACACCGAGTCGAAAGCCCTCAACGATGACAGCGGAAGGGTGATTCGCTCGTCGCAGACCGCCCTGAAACGCAGCGCCTCCTTGCTGTCGTGGACGGGGGCCACTGGGATCTCCATCACCGGCAACGGGCAGTTAACGATGAAATTCTTGGCCGCCAGAAACGTCCCCATCTCCTTGAAGATGTAGCTCCATTCCGCCTTGCTGCGCGGCTTGGGGATTCCCAGGCTCTCCAGGAAGGGGACCGCCTCCTTCCTCATCTGGAGGATGTTGCCCATCCACTTGTCCGAGGCCGAGCCCTCCGCATTGCGGCCCCGGCGCTGCGTCTTCACGATCAGCGGGAAGGTGGTCCAGGCCGAGTAGATGTACTTGAAGGTGAACCTGTGGGCGTACACCCCCGTCAGGCTCGGCAGGTCCCACGTTCTCGTCTGCCTTGTCCAAAACACTCCATCGCCCTTCGCCCAGAAGATCCCCACCACCTGCTCCGGCGCCGGGCGCTCGCCCCGGTTCACCTGCGCTCGGATCTCCAAGGCCGTGTAGATGACAGGGTCGATGTGGTCCTGCTCGCACGTGAGTGGGTGGGTCCTGCGTTCCAGGGCCAGAAGCTCCTCCGGAGTGAGCTTGAATTGCTGGTCCGCGCCCTTGGGGATCTCACCGCTTGAGTGCTTCTTCCAGATCCCCCCAAACATCCGTAGCTCGCCTTGGTGCCTCTTCATCGCCCAGAGGAGCAGGGACAGCTTGCCCTCCTCCGATTTCAGGTCCTGCTGTGGCATTGACTGGTCAGTGGCACCATTGGGGGGCCGGTGTCGCCAGATCGGGCATCTCCTCCAGCAGCGCCTCCTGGTTCCATGGGTTCTGCGCCTCTCTGAGCCTCCTGATGTAGGGGACATACTTCTCCTTGATGTCACCCACGTTGGGGATGTCCTCGGGGTCATCCAGCTCCAGGGGGCAGAACAGCCCCCTCTCCAGTGCCTGCCTGAGATCATCTGGCCACGCCGACACTTCCAAGGGCTTGAGGTGGTTAAGCATCCATGCCTGGTTGGTGTCCTGGGTGCGCTTGTTCGCCTCCTGAGCCTCCTGGATGGAGCCCATCGCCTCAGCCAGTGCCTGGCTGGCGTCAACGCCCTTCCCCTCCAGGTACTGATCTCGCAGCTTGGCCTTGAATCGCTCCAGGTTGACCTTCCTGAGGGCCCGGGCTCCCTCATTGGCCACCTCCTCTGACGGCAGGGCCTGCATGCCCTCCTGGAGAGGCGCCAGGATAGCCATCTCATTGTCCAGCATCTCGTCCGTGACCAACTCCTTGTGCCGCCGCCTGGCCGAGGACTCCTCCGGGGTCGGTTCCCGGTGCTCCCTCAAGGCCTTATGCAGCTCCTCCTTCTTCCGGATCGCCTGGTCCACCTGGGGGTGGTAGAGCTGGAAGCTCTGAGCCTCCGCCTCCTTCAGGGACCGCTGCACTTTGACCTTGACCTCCTGGTGCTCCCGGACCTTCAACGCCTCATCGTCCGCCTCCATAAACAGGATCTCCTGCCGGATGTCCACCCGCCTGTTGAGCGGGACCACGTCTGCCATGGTAATCTCCTCTGCCGTGTCCGTTTTCGGAGGAGCTCTCCCCAGGACCGTGCCGTCCACCAGGTTGCGGTCTGCCTGTGCCCGGGTACCACCGGGGCCAGCGGCACCCAGGCTTCCCCCTTCCCGCTGCTGGATCCAGGTCGGCTTGCCCTCCACAATGAGCAGGTTGTACTTGACGCCGTCCGCCTCGTAGGTAGCCGAGGGTGCCTGGAAGGGGACGAACTCCTTGCCCGGGCAGACCCAGCATTGCTTGGCTGCCTCCGGCCACCCCGTGCCGCATGCCTTGCACATGAATTTGTAGTCTGAGTGGCCGGCATCGAGTCTGTGCATCCGCTGGGTGCCAATGCACGCCTTGTTCCTCTGGAACTGTGAGGCCCAGACCTCCTCCTGCCGGATCTGGATCTTCATCGGAACATAGGCCTCCAGGATGCGAATCACCAAGTCCTCCGTGAGATTCTTCCCGACAAACTTGTGGAACAGGGAGACCGCCTCCTCCACCGTGACGTCCCGCAGCAACGTGGCCGCCGATGCCGGAAGGACCGGGAAGAGGTCTGGGAGGTCCACCAACTTGAAGTAGCCGGGACGGCCCTCCACCGGCACAAGGGAGACCGGTTTGTTCACCTGAGCCGTGGTCTTCTGGGAAGCCGCCACGAAACCCTTCAGCCTCTTCGTTGGTGGAGTAGCCCGCTCCGTGGCGTCCGCATCTTCCATGTCCTTGTCCTCCTCCTCGGCGGGGCCAGGGGCACCCAGGCCGGAAGTCGGTGTGGAGAAAGCCACACGGAGACGCTCCAGTGCACTGTCGTTCATCACGTCGGTAGCCGAAGCCGACGGGGGGGCCTCGGGCTCGTCCAACACCAGGCCGGCCGCCACTGCCGCCTCGCGTGTGCGAATTTCCTGGGCCTCCTGGCTGGCCATTTCCACCTCCTCCGCGGTGAGCTTCTGGTCCTCAATCAGCTCGAAGGAGGTTGCCAAGGTTGCCGAGGAAGCCATTGCTAGATCGGAGTTAGTTCGGGGTATTTTTTCACACAAATTGGGTTCAAAGAACCCAGGGCAAAGCTTGAGCCAAAATGGCATGCGCCATTATGGTCAAGCATTGCCAACACAGTTCATGTTTCCACATGCGTTTCAACATTAACAAATTCTCTGCGGTTTCTAGGGCCCCCCCCTCAACCCTTTAGAGAGTCCATATCAAGGGAACAGGTATCTCTGGGGGCCTTAGGGAACACCCCCCCCCTTCTTGAGCCTTGGACCCCCCCCCTTTCCATTTAGGGATTCCGTATGAAAGGAAAAGGGTAAAGGTCCCTGGCACAGGATTCCATATCAAGGGAAACACATCAAGGGACCCGGGTACCTTTAAAAACTAGGATGTAAAATATGTTCGACTGTGGGCTTCCTGTTGGCTTCCTTTCAAACCAAGGGACACGGGTACCGTCCAAAAAGACACACGCCACTCCATAGGTGTCCTTTTTGTAAAATTTGTGAAATTTGAAATGTTGGGCCATATTTTTTTGATATTTTACAAATTTTACAAATTAATTTGTAAAATTTGTAAAATTTGTAATTTAATTCCTACCAAATTCCCCTGGAAGCTAATTTCTCAGGCTAGAATCTGGGAAAATGGATGGCCCCGGTAGTTGATTGAACCACCAGGGAAACCAGGGCCTTCTATTTTTCAACCAAATCAACCAAAAAGGACACCTGCACAGAGGCACAGGCCTTGACCCGTCTCGTGGAGGACTTGCAGCGCCGCAGAAGCTGCAGCTCCTCTCACCGCGCGTTCGAGTGCGGCGGCAGAAGCGGCAGCCGGGCGGTCAGATGAAATGAAAAACCTCGGCAAACTGATGCATGGACTTGCCACTTGGGGGTGTCGTTTTTGAGTTGGTACCCTTTTTGGGGTGGGTTTAAGGGACTGTCTATTTTTTGAATTGGTCCCCTTTTTGGGATGGGTTTTTAAGGAAAACCAAAGGGACATGCCAAATTTAGGGAAATTGATTTTTGAGTTGGTACTAAATTTGGGGGTGCTTTCAAAGTGAAACCAAAGGGACATCATGTATTTTGGGGGTTCCCTCAAAGGACAGCCCCGTTTCATGTCCATGTCCTTTCCATTCCTGGACATGTCTTCCTTCCAGCTTGGGGCTCCCCCAAAAGAGTTTTGGGAGAATAATGTTTTCTTGGGGCTCGATGTTAATCTGCAAGCATCACTTATACTGAGGGAGCCAAACCCCTCGAAAGTTGCCCAACTCAGAGCACGAGTTCAGGACCTTACACTCACTGTTCGTGGGGGCCCGGTAGTTGTTTGTGGGCACTCTGCAGAATGTTCAACGCACCATCGCGATTGAACCAACCACATCCAACCACCAAACCCTCGTGAAGAGCTGTAGATTGCAATATTCCCCGTGTTCTTCCCATAGGGAGAGGCAACCACTCTTGCACGTGAACCATCGAAAAGGCAGCCATTTCTTCGAGGAACAAGCGTTTGGGATTGAACTCATTGATGTACATGTTAAATTTGCAGGAGAGAAAGCTGGATTAATGAATCGGCCTGGCTGATATTTGTGGGATATAGTGGAAAAACTCTACTCCAAAATGGGACACCCCACTGAGCGACTGCGGCTTAAAATGTCAACACCGGCCGCCCTCGAGGCCAGCCCCCTCCCATGAGTGGGATGGGCACAAGCTGACACAGCGTATTCATCCTGGGTCAAGATCGCCGAATGGCTGGCTTAACAAAGACATATGAACCGATAAGGACCAGGCACTACAAAAAGTCTAGTCCCCTTTCATGACTATGAAAATAAACAAAATCCAAAACGAAGGAGAGGCGGCCCGGTATCTAAACTAATTGTTGTTTGTCGTTTTTTTTTTTTTCAGAGGAAGCAACAATTCGACGAAGCCCGCATGTTGAGTCAAACCTATTCGGTCCAGGAAAACGACCCAATTATTTCACTGGCTAGTCAGGAACCGACGCGATTAAAGACAAACAAGGGGTGCTGCCTTCTTATTGTATTAGTTAAGTCGAGGCACAAGTGGTAGATTAAACAGGGCTCACTGGATATATCCCTCCAAAAGTTGCAATGCACCTACTGGGTTCCATTGAAGCATGTTACTTTGGAAGGTCCTAAAAAGCGAAATTGAGGGACCCCTGTTACAGAGAAACTCCATTGCAGCTTCCAACTTTTACCATCCTAGCCCACATTTCTCCCTCCCGTGGGTTCCAGAGTCCTACAGAAAAAGAAACCGGCATTCTTGCCCAGCAAAAGAAAACACGTCGAAGCGGCACAGCTACCCCAAAGGGAAAATGGTCTTGGAGCCCTGTGGTTCAGTTTCTTGGGAGGGTAGACGCGTCTTCTTTCTTCAACCCCCCAAAAAACTGGCTGGTTCTCAGCAAAGAATGCCGGAATGACCCCTCCATAAACCATCCCTTGTGGTTTTTCCTTGCAGGGGATTCCTGGGTTCATTCCAAACACCCGCGCTTCATCATTCCCTACCTATCGCACCAGCAAGAAACCTTCAACCCCCCCCCCCAAACAAAAAAAACCCTGAGTTCGCTTCCTTTTAAACCAAGGTCCCGGGTATCATCAAAACTTGGCTAGCCGAAGCAACAGCTTGGCAGCCTCTGGGCCCTGGTGAGCCCGCAAATTTCAGGCTTGGGGCGGTTTCCCCCCGTGCTTTCAGATCCGCTTCAAATCCCACTCCAAACCAAGTGGTCGCCTTCGCTCACGTTCTGAGGGCGCCCAAGTTGGCAACCCTTCAACGCCATGAGGAAGCCGCCCAAAAAAAAAAGATTCGGGGGGGGGCCAAGGCAGCGGGCCAACTCCAGCCGCTCCTCCTCCTCACTCAGCCAAAGCCCGCGGCTCACGTGCCCACGCTTGGCCAGGTACTCATCCTCGGATCAGGAGATTTGGCCCCCGCCTTTCAAGTGACAACCTAAGCGTCCAACCTGAAACCACCCGCTACAAATGGAACCCGTTTCTCGGATACTGCCATCTTAACCATCAGCAATTTTGACCGTCGGGTCTATTCATAGGAAATGGCTTGGTGGGAAAACACCCTGAGAACACATGAAAGCCTCTACCAGTAGCACCACCAGGGCAAGCCACCAATCCAAGCCGCCAATTGAGGGTTCCTTGATTAGTTCCAGCACCTTCCAAGGGTGGCTTTTCAAATTTGTACCTGAAGTGCCCCAAGGCTTGCGGTACCAACTGGGATCTAGCGGCCTGCCAGCCACCAACTCTGAGCTCAAATATATTTCTCACCACTGCGAACCTCTAAACATCTGGGAGATGCATTCAGGGGTCAAACATAACAGGAACAGTGGAGCAACGCATCATGCTTCACAACCAAAGAACTTACCAACAATCGATGCAGAAGCAAAGCGGCACCGGGGAATCATGCAGATACTGTGGATGCTCTAAATATTGCAAGTGGACCACCTGCAATCGCAGACCCTGGCAAAATGAATTCGAACATTCGAGGGTTCCGTTCCCGAACCTGCCCCTGGTCGTCTTCCGTGGCATGTGAACGTGCCGAGAAGCCAAAGCCGGGCGAAACTGCGGCGAAGCATGTGACAGCATGGCCAGCTCAAGAGAAAAACACCTGTCTTGGTCCGAATTGCTCAGAAAGAAACAAGAACCCAGTCCCAATGGCAGAAAATGGCCAACATCCATAGATACCTGTGCTGAGTGTTGAGCATCATCTGGGACTGATGTCCATCAACCTGAAACAAGGGAGCCTCCCTCGACCACAAGAAGGAAGACTGCAAGGATGATGCCACAAAACAAACTGGAATCTTCAAGTGACTTCATTCACCCCCCAAGCTGGCTGTATTTAAGGATCCTACCATCACGTGGATGACCATTCAACCGGTCTTTTGACCATGGCACAGGTATTCTTGGTTGACGTTGGAGGGGAGCAAAAATTCAAATTCTAGCAGTTCAGTGGTTGGATTTCAAGCACTAAGCCACAATAAGCAAAAATTGGAAAAATGTGTCCCAACAACAAAAGGGTTTGCTCCCAACAAAACCGCAAAACCGTGTAAAACCGTAAAACCCCCAACAACAACCATATATTCGTCGCCCGTTCCAACGGCCCATCCGGTCGTCCGGTCCAAAGCGCCATTTCCACGTGGAGCTCGAACGGCAGCACCACGTCTTCCACGAAGGCCGTGCACAGCCTGAGCGATCGCGCGTCAACATTTTTTCTAGCGGCTCCTCTAGAGCTTGCTGGTGCGATAGGTAGAGAAGTGTGGGAATGAACTCAGCGATCGATGTGCGATAATGCGCCGAAAAACATTTGCCGGGAGCTTAAAGGTCTTCGTGTTTTTTCCCCTAGCGATGTGAAGCTCCAAGTCCACAGCTTCATTTCGGGCCCTGTCGAGAGATCCCGAAAATTGGGTGCCCGCAAAACTTGCTGGCGCGATAGGTAGAGAATTGTGGGAATGAACTCAGGGATTCCCCTTAAAGGAAACACCAAGGGATGGTTTATAAGAGCCATTCTATTTCTCATTCCCTGCCTATCGCAGCAAGAAAGGACATTGGTAAATGAGTGAGTGTTCTGCTCAAGAAACCACAGACACATATTTCAACCAACCTGATGTGGGCGTGTGAGGGAAGTCCCAATGGGAAATGTTCCCGGGGCTTCCCTTCAGAACCACTACATAGGACAGGTGAAGCAAAGGCACCACTTGCATATGAACCAATTGCCTTAGCGCTACGTATGGCAATAGCGCGTAAACTTTCATGTCCGGGGTCATATAAGGGATCCGGCATGCAGCTTTTGGTGTTGATGCGATTCCATCTAGTCTTGCCCAATGGAACACAAAAGAACCATACCCGGCAAAGCAAACATGATACGGGTGTGTCAAAGGACACTTACACGTGACAAAATAAGCGGCAGCGTCCCCGAAATTGGTGGGCTGGATTGGTGTTTGGTGATTGGGTGGTTTCCCATGTACCCTCAAAAAGAGCCGTTCGAATCCAAACCACCAACTAAGCCTCAAAACATCACAAACCCCAATGGCGCTTACCCCCAAAATGGTGCTCCTATAGCTTCCCTTGACAACCACCAAATAAGAAAAGAAGAGGGAAACACACACCACACAGACACACAGACACACAGACACACAGACACACAGACACACAGACACACAGACACACAGACACAACATGTGTGTTCTTGGTGAACCTTTCAGCAAGCATGGTCATGCCCTTAGGCTCGGGTTACCTGATCTGAAATCGAATCCCAAGGGCTTGCGGATGACATCCACTCGAAAGGCCCCATGTGTCTATGCAGCTCCACGAAGGACACAGAAACCAAAAAAACACGCGCAGACATCATCTTCAACTAATTGGTTGGATACGGGAAAAAAGAAAGTTAAATCAAATATCCATAAGTGAGTATAGCACGTGAGAACTTGTTGACCATGCGAAAATGAAGGGACTCGCTTTGTGAGAGTTGCATTGCACATGGTTTTTTCCGGCAGGTTGTCCAAAGGCAACCCCTCCCCCCCCGCCCGCCCCCGGAACTCCCAAACCCTCTTTTTTGTTGCGGGGCAAAGATGGCAATCACAATTTGTGCCTTCCCCCCGATTTGTTCTTTTTGTTTGAAGGCAAAGAGGGAAAACCACCTCCCCATTTTTGTGAGACCCGCGTGCAAGGATTTCTGTTTCATATGTCAGACTTGAAGGTTCACTATGTCTTCCTTCGGGCATTTTTAGTGAACGGGGGTGGGGCAAAGCAGGCGTTCCCCGTGTTTCCCTCTCTCGCCCCCCCTCCCCAAACCACCCCCGGCCCCAAACCACCCCACCCCCACCACCCCGCCCCCCCAAGCCCCCACCAAACCCCCCCCCCCCGGTGTCTTAAAAACCGAAAGGCGCCAGCTTGCAGCGCACCGCGTGCGCGTCCGGGTGCCGATCCTGGAGGCTCCCTCCGAACCTGGGAAGGATCACAGGCTTCCGACACGCGCAGAGGCTGAGGCGGATATCGCCTCTCGCGCTGAGGCGACATATCGCCTGAGCTGATTTCCTCACGGTGGTTCTTTTTGAACGGCCGCTAGGAGCTCCTGTGCCAAGTTCCTCACTGGGTATATCGCCTATGAGCTGATTTGTGGGTTGGGCGTGAGCTTCTTTTGAGTTGGGCTTGGCCTTCGGCAAGACTTAGGATGAAACCCAAGGAGCGATTCCGTATGCCCAGGGAAGGTGGAAAAGAGTCTAAGCGGTCCCTCAGAACCAAAGGCCACTGACAAAAGGGAGACACTTTCCTTCGGAGGGCAACCTTCTGTTTGCCAGAAAATGTGGCTTTGCGCCTCGAGGCCTCGAGGCAATAATGGCCATGGGCTTCTCAAAACCCAAATCGTTGTTAGCCAGTGAACATCCGATTCAATCCAACCACTCAAATCGGCTCTAAAATGGGTGGTGAATTCACCTACCAACCAAAATGGGATCCCATTGGTGTTGACCCACAGCCATATTTGCCATCTACAACCAGCTCTTTAAACAAAGCCCTCCTGTTGGCGCGCAATTGGCAAGAGGCTGGTTGAAGACCCATTGCTCTTCGGCCAGCAGCGGCACGTCTGTCCAGCAGTTCTCCTGAGAGGAGAAAACCCCGAGCCAGATGTCCTTTTGGTTATCAAACCATTCAAAAAGGGTTGCCCCAGATCAGCTGCTAAAAGTTTAGCTTTTAGTGGGCGAAATGGAAACCCCACTAAACACTAAAAAGCCAAAAAGCGGGTGGCTGGGACACCAAGATCCAAATGTGTATTTGTTCCGGCTCCATGTCCATCAACTCGTGGCCACTCCGTTGTGAATGTTACTGGTTCCGAGCCTTTGGCCTTCCCAGGGATTTATGTCCGCCCACTCTTCGGATCCTGGGTGGTTCAAGGGCAAGCCCCAACCACGTGTCTCCAGAGACAATTCGCCAGGAGGCAACCCGGGGAAAAAAAATGATCAACCACCTGTCACGTCGGGCCCCCACCCGGGTCACTGCGCTTCAACCATGCAACCAAGCTGCTGTCCAAAAACCAGTCCCAGTGGATCCCGGTTATGCGCCTGTACAGTAGATCACCAGATATAGGCCTTCTGCGTGTGTTTTTTTGTGGATGTTGCATCGGCTGCTTCCCTGGACCCACCGTCACGAGCCAAATGGATCCAACCAAAAGCCCGGTGGTTGCCTCAACCCCGGGCCCCCCCCCGCCCTGCTCGCCCTGCTCGCCACAGACTGACGCCCTGCCACCGACGACTCGACTCGAGTTCCCGAGGCCGGCGCCAGCTCCGCGGAGCTGGCGGCGTAGTCCCGCAGCATGAGGCGCAGCAGCGCCAAGTAGAGCCCCGCGGCGAGGCTCGTGGCCTCCGGACAAGCGCCGCTGGGGGGAGTCATGGACCTGAAGGGGGCTTTGGGGGGCCGGGGGGGGGGGGTGGCAGGTGCTATGTCATGGGGGGAGGGTAATTAATAAGCGATAGGACTTGGGTATGGGTCAAACTTACACCTCCAATTACCAGGACCCATGTTTGACCTACAAAGGAGCTTGGGTGCTGCAACGACCCCTGCAAAACGTTGCTCACTTTTCTGGGCTACCCTCAGATCCCCCGCTAGAAGTTTAACTATTAGTGGGTCAAATGGAAACTGCCACTAAACACTAAGAACCGCATGGCTGGGAGCCACCAAGTTTTGCGGGTCCAAAAAAGGTTCAAGTCCAGATGGGGGGTGCTGGCAAGGATCGTTGGGAACCATTCAACAGAGTTCGGTGGGCATTCGCGTGCACCACCTGTGAGGTGGTTCCAACTCTTAAAAAGTCATAGCCGCTTCTGGACAAATTGGTTGAAATCAAAAGTCATGACATGATACGTGCAGAAGGCCCAGGAAGCGGCGACATTAGTCACTGCAATGGTTGACCTTCCCAAAACAACAAAATGATGAGTGTACAAACAAAAAAAGGCGGCCTTTTGGCACTTTTCAAGCTGAAAAAACACCTTTTAGGGTACCCTCCCTTCCACCAACATGGCAGCCCCATGATGTTCGAAGAAGTAATGCCTCAAATAGGGGTGCAATTAGATCTCTGTACCAAATGAAAAGAAGAAAAACGGGGGCAATCCCACTGAAAACCCACCATAGGTCTCATGGAGAAACCGCCATAAGGGTGTCCATCCAGGATGGTTAAGGATTGCTTCAAGCAAAAAAGCTACCTGATTTCACAGACTTCCCACCGGTCCTTCACCCCCGGGAAACTCACCGTGGGCCAGAAAGGTGACGATTAAAATAAACCACTCATGGACCCCTGCTTCACCATCTTGACGCTCGGAGCAAGCCCTCCATGGTCCAAACCTGCTCCAAATTGGCTGGACCCCTACTGCAAAAACATGTTCAGAGCCGCGCAGGAAGTGCGGCCGACTCAATACGTGGATGCTTCCGGGACTTGTGGAGCTCATGTAATATGAGTCACAATCAAAACCTGGTACAGAAGGGCGGCGGGCGGCCGCAACTATTTCCGGCTGGGACTGCCCCTTACTAACCTTCATCTTACCCGGGTTTTGATTGTGGCTCATATGGCGTTTTGCACGGGATCACCAACAGGAGCCAACCACTTGAGAACCGGGGAGGGAGGTAAACGAGAGCTAGCTCACAGAACAAGCGCGGGGCTGGCAGAGGATGCGGAATCCGGCATGCAAAGCCAGATTGTTTAGCAGAAAGATTCGACCTGCCAGACAAGTTGCCGGGAAGTCATCAAAACATAACAAACGATATTTGGCTGACACAGTGGATAGGATCCAAATTTGGGGATTGCCACCAGAAGAACTGCCCGGCCATGGAAAATCGACTCAAGAGGCACCAGTTCTTTGGTGGATGATGCTATAAAGGAGCGCTTTAGGCCTGGGCCTATAGGTGTCCTTTTTGAAAAAATAGATGGCCCTGGTAGTTGGTTGAACCACCAGGTAAACCAGGGCCCTCCATTTTTAAACCAAATCGACCAAAAAGGACATCTATGCCTGGGCCCAAGGTCGAAACGCAAAATCGGCTTGACAATGCCTGCATGTAGGCATGCGTGGCATGCACCGGATAGAGGTAGTAGGGGCTGTCCATGGCCTCCTCAAACCGCGAAACCGCGAAAGCGAACTCACAGTTCTCTCTGGGTACCTTCCATGTCCATTCTTTCCAGGGATCCTTCTTTCTAAAAAACCAAAACCCAATACACCCAGGGGAAGCGGCCGGTTTTTGAAAAGAACGATGGTTGAAAAGAATGGGGAATCAAACCCTCGACCTTTCAGTCATACCAATGGCACCCAAGAAGAATCCCAGTGGCAAATGGGAAACTTCGTAACTCTTGTTCCATGATCCCAACCAAACGCCCTCCTGGTTCCCCGAAAGTTGTTGGTTGCGCCTTCAACTCCCAGGCACCCGCTGTGCCGAAAAAAAAGAAGAAAAACAAAAGCCTCGCCGGGGAGTCCCGGATCCCGGATTCCCATCGATGTGACCTGCGAATGTTACTATTCCAAAAGCTCAACTAAGAATTGGATCCCCAATACAGGACCTGCCTCATTGCTTTCACTCATCATAGCCTCGAACTGGTGAGCTCGCCATAGGCGGCAAACATTTTGATACGACCGGTCTCCTGCCAACCAAAGGAGGAGCGGTTGAAGAGGAGTTGAGTGCCGAAGGGCTCGCCGTTCACCACAGGCCGCGTGACATCCTCGAGGATTTCGCGGGTTTCACAGCGCGCTCACGGCGGTGGCGCGCGATGGGGCAGGAAAAACACAGGGGGGGGGGGGTTTGAGGGGATCCCTCAATCCAAATGTCAACTTGGGGGGACCTGACAGATGGATTGCGCTTGTTGTGCTTTTGGTGGCCCTGTAGGCCAACGCCTATGGTCACGGTTCCCTGAATAGGAATCTCTCTATATCCGAGCGCGTGCGCGAGTTCAATCGGAATCAGTATGATGATTATTAAGGATAATCGACGGGTGGATGACCATCCATGTTAACCCCAAGCAAAGAAACCGGTCTCTTGACCATGGTCCACATAATAGTCTTCTTTGGTGCCAGCGATCGGCAGCCGAACCAACGCAAATGTCTGGGCCAAACGAGTGGACCTGCAAAAAAGCGTAACTTGCCGGTGAGTTGAGGGAAAATAAAAGAGACCCAAAAGCGAAGAAGTCAAAGCGGTGAAATCAGTCTGCCAATGAAATGGGGAGGGGGGGGTTCGATTTGGCTTGACTTTAAACAACGCTGGGTGCAGCTGGAGTCCCCGTTCCAACATCGAGCTGGCGCTTCCAAACACTTGAGTGCGTCTCTTGTTGGTTTCCTCTTGGTAAAACGGCCCCCTATTTTGAGAAACTCCAGTTGAATGGGAACCCAAGCTTGGTTGAGGAACCTGCTGTCCCCTTCCAGAGGGATCCTTCATTTTTGACAAAACCCCTAATGGTCCAGGTTGATTCATCCGTCAACCACAAACCCTCAGGCCGGTTGGCTCCAAAATTCTTAGGGCAATTGGACCCCGGATCTAAGTAGAAGCCATCCGACTAGTAGGGGATGTTCCCCTAAACCCTATTAATCAACCAGAGGTTTATTCACCCGGAGTCAACTGTATTCGTACCAAGCGAAACCAACAGACATACCAATTCTGTGCACTCCGGTTTGATTGTGCTTGGAACAACCCCGATCCAAAGGTAATTTGGAGGGACATTAAAGGCCACAGCTACCCGCTCTGGAGGCTAGCCATGTCATATTCTGAGATCCGTTTTTGCGGCTACTGTTTGCGTTACGTTTGTTCCTGTCTTTCGAGGGTACCCGTTTGGGCAAACCTCCCAAATTTCGACCGAACACGCCCCCACTCCCATCCCATCAATCGAGGTGCGTGGTTCGGCAGAAGCACCCTGAGATCACCCGCGGCGTTCTCCAACAGCAAGGCCTGAGGCGAGGCGTGGATACGAGTTGAAAGGTTCTTCAAGGGTGGTTTCAAAAATAACCTTTTGCGTCAAAGCAAAAGTTTCTTTGGAGAGTTCTTCCAGCACCCGGAAACAACTCCTTTTTGGTTGCAGTAGGGGGGGATTTGGGACATGCTTGAATACGTGGTTGTTGGGACCAGGGTGCTCCGTCACCAGGTGGGGTGTATCTAGAATTCATGTGGCCATGGGTCAAAATCCCGTAGTTCTAGTGAACATCCCAATCCAACCACTAACATTGGTTCTAAAATGGGTGGTGAATTCACCTACCCCAAATTGGGTTCCCGCTGGTTTTCAAACACAGCCATGTGGCAACTGAAAAGTCGCCACAGCCGCGCCAGCGCCTCCTTGAACGAGGCCGCCCAGCCCGGCACTCCGAGAGATGCCGGCTGTCAGCCGGGATCCAAGCGAGCGGGTACTTCTTTTTCAAGGTTGGATGCCCTAAAATTGGGGTTGTCCGGTCGGTTTCCCTTTAAAACCACAAAGAGGTACCCTGAAAAAGACAAAGCACTCAGATATTTCCCAACGGGTCTCTTTCCATAGCCTCCTGAATCCATTGGGGGTCATTCCAGAAGAACCACCAGGTAAACCAGGAATCGCCCGACCTATTTTTGAACCAAATCCACCAAAAAGGACACCTATGGTTAACCCTTGTTCTTAGGAAATGTTCTACCCCCAATTTGGCGATCCCCGCCACCACCAACTGCGGCGCATCGATGCGGCTGGATCGAATCCGCCTGCTGCAGCCCCGCCAAGAGCTGCGACAGCGCCGGCTCCGCAGCCTCGCCCTTCGCCACCGACTTCACCTCGCTGGTGTCGACCCCCCCCGGTCCAGCAGAAACCGGCGACTCAGAAATCACGGCCAGCCGCTGGCTGGCAGGGTACATAGCAACCACTGGCGTTTTTGGACATTGAGTCACGTGCTCAAAACCCGGAGTAAAAATGGTCGTAATCCCAGAACCATGCTTCAAGAATTAGGAAGGCGGATCTCCCCGCAGCTATTTAGGGTCGGGATTGTCCCTTACTAACCTTCATCTACCCAGGTTTTGATTGTAGCTCAGATCACGTCCAGGGCTGGCAGGGTACATAGCAACCACTGGCTTTTTGGGACATTGGGAGTTTGGGACGTTGAAAAGAGCAGTTGTTGGGAAAAAGGAGTTGGTAGTTGTTCACTTAGCGAAGACAAGAACTCACTGGCCCATGAAGATCTGGATCCCTGTGATGCCAAAACAAAATACCACAGCAGACACACCCAACTGCCATCCATTCTGCCCCAAGGACTTGGATCTTCAAGGACCCGGCCTAACGTGCGATGGTACCAAATGCTTACGTCCCGTGACTTCACTTCGCGTTTTTTTCTTTCAGGTTTTTTTTTGTCTCCTGTGGCAAGCTGCTTCCTCAACTGCTTGTCAATGGCAAGCGCACCGCGCGGCACCTTAGACACCTGCTCAGAGGTGAGACCCAGAAAGATGGAAGGATGAACAACCAAATGGGGGGGGGGAGGGGATGACATGGATAGGTACACTCACCAAAGGGCGGGGGGGGGGGGGGCAAAGGGGATGACGTGGGTAATTACACTCACCAAGCAAAAAAACCGCCTCCTCGAGAAAAAAAAAATGTAGTCGCCCCCCTCTTTGCACGCAGCATGACTTCCCCTGAAAAACGGCACCTGGGGCCTGGAATCGATCCCAAAACCCACATGGACCGGAGACGTAACTTCCCGTCTCACCCAAAATGACATGGGTGCGTCTTCTTCTGATGGTAAGCCCGGTGACGTAACTTCCCGTCTTGGGTGGTACACCTTTGTGTTGGTGGTTGTAAAGGACGCCCAAAAGGGAAACCACCCTTCCCCAGCCGAAGGGCGAACCATCCCCCGGCGTCTTTGACCTCGAGGCCGCCCTCCGTGGGCTGCAGGGTCAGCTTCAGACGCGGCAACTCGATGCTAGCCTTGGGACGAGGACTACCACTAGGTCCTGGTGGTTTGGTGGTATTTACCCTCTACAAAAGCCAGGGACCCATTCAATCCAAATCCAAACCAATCCGAACCGCCAACCTGGCGGGTTACCTGATCATACTCTTGTCTAGGTCCTCCAGATTTGAGAGGTTAGAAGAAGTTGGTACCAACTACCGTTTTTTTTTTTTTTTTTTTTTTTCGGTTTTGTCTATTTTAGTAGGGGAACCCTTATTCCAAAAAAAGAAATGGGAAAAGGGCACCTAGCTGGGGAACCTAGACCACACACACATGGACAAAGCTACATGCATAGACTTGCATAGATATACTCATGTGTATGGAAATATGCGTACATGTATGCACGGATGTCTATACATATATATATATATACATATATATATACATATATATATATATATGTTCTTTTTTCTCTCCCTCTGCATTTACATGTGCATGAGTGAGTGTATGTGTATATCTGTATGCGTACGTATGCACGTGCGCTTTCTGCGTGTATGAAATGTCGGTTGGATGTACATGACACCCACATTCACCAGCTTAGCCAGGGTCGGTCAGCTCAAACCTCATTGAAAAGCACGCCTTTCGGGTGGACAATCAACTCCTATCCATCTGGATACCTGTCGGACTTGCCACGGGGATACATTCTCTGTAATCGCTTCAGCGTCTTGGACCGAGTGGGAGGGCTGGATGTTTGCGAGGGAAACTCTCCTTCCTAAGTCCTCGGGCAGGTCGACAGATGGGATCAGACGGGTGAGTGTGACCTACCCTCACATCCAACTCCTTGCGACAAGAACCAAACTTGCAGCGTTGATCCCAAGTGAGTGTGCTCTAACCCCAGGCCGGTTCCAAGCAAGTTGCTGGCAACACTCAGACCTCCCGTTTGTCAGAGTCTGGCGGGTCAGAGGTCATGGGATTCCATGCTTCTAGAGAATGGTTGGCTTCCTTTTGACTTGCCTTCAACTTTCTGGTTCTCAGCAAAGGGCATGACCCCAAGATGAGCCATCCCCTTCATTCCCAAAACCCGGAAGGTCATCCCCTATCGCCCCAGCAAGTCAAACACCAACAAAATTTCATGGCCGCTTGTCGCTAAAGCCCTTCGGCCAAGCTGCGATCTTGACGCCACCTCAGCTCTGAGACTGAAAACATATGGTCGCAGCCATAGGCCAACCCTTGTTCAAGCATGTTTACCTCCCGGGTACCACGGGACTGCACAAGCCGTCCCGTGAAGAGCACAAGAAGTGCAGTGAAGCATGTTTACGTGGAACCTGAAACAACCATTCACAAATGGTGGTTTCAGGTTCCAGGTACATCACTGGTGCATTTAGAACAAACAAACAACTCCTTTGGGTTTCCATATGGGGAACATGCGGGGTGACTTGGTTGAAGCATTTGGGAGCAGTTTGTTAGAACATTGGGGACCCCGAAAAATAGGTAGATTCCTTTTTTCCGCAGCCACACAAAGGGACACCCAAAGTGGGCGTGCTTCCCTTTCGCTACCCAACAAAAACAGGAGAGCCCCCCCATATTGATAAGGTGACCCGTGAAAGTCCTGTGGGCTCCATTCAAATTCCCTTGTCGTAGTTGGCTGCTTGGCAGCTTGGCTGACCATCCGTGCCAAGAGAAGAGTTGACACAAACGAAGTTTCCACCTGCACCCCAGTCAACTCGAGTCTGGAAAGGCCAGCATCTGCATGGAGGCTTGTTCTGGATGGATGTATGGACCCCTCAGTCTCAAAATAGAGAACCACTCTTTTAAGTGTTCAAGGGTAGCAAGGGAAACCAACAATTTCTCGGAGTCACTCCGGATCTTTTCCCTGCGTCCTTTTTCTCACGTCTTACAGGCAAGCATTGGGGTCAACTCGATTTCCCATGTTTTTTTATTTGATTTTTTTTTTTCTGGAGGAAACACAGTAAGTTGCGACCGTGGCTCATATTGGCCATTTCAGGGTGCCTATGCCTCCATCAATGGAAAAAATATATATATATATATATCCAATAGCGATCGATTCCCTTCAAAGTTAACAGCGGAAAAACACAACAAATTCTTGAGCAAAAGGAAGGATGTTGATATGCTTCTGCAACTCATAATCATGGGCGCTAAGAAGGAGGGGAGGGGGAGGGAGCCCTAGATACAGCCGTACTTAAGTGGGGGCTTATTTAGGTCTCCCTCCCCCCCCAGCCCGCACAACATAAGGATCTGTGAGTGATGACTTGTTGCAGGCCTTACCGGAGGCCGCCAACCTTAAAGGCCAGAGACACATGTCGAGTCATTGCATCACTTGCCATATGTTCGGCTGAAACCATCCCAAAAAAGGGTAGACTCCAAAAACCAAGACAGTGACACCAAACCATAAATTTATATATTATAACCATTCTCAAGTCATCATACAACCCATGTTTAATCATTGTTTGTTTGTTTTATATTTACTTATTTTTTTTGTTTTTTTGAAAAAAACTGTGCTTTAAAGCAAGTGGGCCCAGTCCCACGTTGAACTCAAATGTCCCCAAGACGGCTGGGGGCCGGCACCAGAACAAGGAAACCCTATGGGCGGTTTCCCTTGAGGCACCCTGAGACACGCGCCAAGGAGCGCGTTATAAGGACCTCCCAAAAGCAATACCCTCCCACTAACATAGCAACTCACAGGGGTCCCACCAACATAGCAACTCACAGGGGTCCCTACAAGAGGAAAATACTCTTGCAGGTACCCTCCCACAGATGTTATGTTAGTGGGAGGGAGGCTGCATTATCACCAACGTGACTCAGTTTCAGGTGGTTTCGCCAGAAGACGAAGAAAAAAATAGGAAAAACAACGGATCCCGATTTTCTGACACACACACACACACACCCATACCACTGCCCCCAGTGACCCCAGTGCGCCGCCTCTTTTCTCCACTTCGCCACTGGAATGGCTCCCGAGTTGCGAGGAGGTCAACCGGTGCTTCAACTTACAACCACAGAGGGAACCAACATGTCACCTGAGATCGAAATCAAAAGGAAAAAACAACTTTGGGGGCCAACCTATTCTGAAACGAACCCAACCAAAGCCTCCTCGTTTCTTTGTCCCAAAGATCAAGCCCAAGTTTTGAGCCAGCAAAACCTGTTATTGAAGGAGCCTAGTGGGAACCCAGGATGGATTCAAAAAAGCCTGGCTGATTTATGAGTGCCTCACGTTACTCTTCTGGGAAGCACACGACGGATAACCCACCATGATGAACAAACCATTTGCGTGCACTTGATCGCGGAGACATCCGTTGACTGCTGCGTCAAGCATGCCCTCAAACAAAAGCCCGGATCATCCACCTGGTCTTCAATTTCCCCACAAAACAATGCCTCTTGCGCAACCCGGTAGGCAAATCGCCGAGGAAGCTACGCGCATGCGCGCTCGATCTGTACAATGGTCATTGAACCCCTTCACGCCCTGGATGGCATACCCAGTCAACCCCAACATGCTAGGAACAAGAGCGACTGAGAAGCGCGAAGAAGCCCCAAATGCAGCATACTGGGGCAAGGAGGTTGCTGGCCACCCCAAACCACTGCAAAGCATGCTCCTTTCATGATACAGATCCTTTTATGAAACCATTGGTCGACCAATTTCATCAGAGTCATCATTTCAGCTTCCCTCTGATTGGTGGCTTGGATTGGTGGTTTGGTAGTTTGGATTGTGGCTTTCCATTTACCCTCTACAAAAGCCAGGGACCCATTCAATCCAAATCCAGGCCAATCCGAACCGCCAACCTGGCGGGTTACCTGATCATTGATACTCTTGCGACTTGCCCAAATGAAGAAACAGCCCAGCGAGAAAACTTTTGCTTCCGATGACGAGCTGCGTCTCCAGGTCGGATCGTGTCGCCTGCAAACTAACCAGGAACCTCAGCTTGAAACGCGCGCACCTGTGGCATCTCTTTTTTGGGATGCACCACCCCCCCCCCAAAAGAATCGAAGTCGTGCCACTTAATTTGCAGGCGGTAGCTAGGACAACCGTCCTGAAACGGGAGGAAACGGTGCCCTGCCCAGAAGGGGAAGGAAATGCAAAGTGCCTGAAATCTATCGTGAACTCAGTCCCTGGGCCTTGAAACGTCTCCTCCCCGAATTCCATTCGCACGTCAACCACTGCCGCTTTCCTCCTTCGGCCGCGCGGCGTCGAAGTCAGAAGGCCGGTCGTTTGCTCAGTGGTCGAAGCTGAGAAGCCACGAACCGTCAAAGCCGAACTCTACGGACTGGATCTTCCAGTCCTGAACATAGGCATCCTTTTAGGGTACATAGATATCCCTGGTAGATGAGTAAACCACCAGGTAAAGCAGGAATCTCCCTCGATTTTTCTACCAAAACAACCAAAAAGGACACCTATCCTGGCTAACCATTTGGCCATTCCCTACTGAGCACCAGCAAGGGAATCATTTGGGAAAATGCTCAAACTTTGTTTTTTGTTTTTCTTTTGCCCGATTGGGTCATGGTTCCCTTAACAGGAATCATTCAAATGGTTACTAAGGATCCTTACTACTATGTGGATGACCATGCTGTTGACCCCAAGTACAATGTTCTTCTGACTCCTGATTGGGCAAATGTTATTCTCAAAGCGGCAAACAGGGGAACCCCTAGTAAAGGCCCTTCATCATGGGTGAGCCCAGTTAAAGCCCAGATTGTCCAAGTTCATTAATCTGGTGGATTAATAACGTGTGCTTCCCTACAAAGCGAAGGGCCCCTTCTTAAAAGCAACATCCCTCTTAATCAACCAGGGATTTGTTCATCCTGGGTTCCCATTGGGTTAAGTCGTTTCTCGAAGTAATTCGACCTTCATGGGCTTTCGCTCGACTCCCAGGGAAGCTGGTGCTGGACATGAACTAAAGGGTCCGACACGCAGCAAAACTCACCCTCCAAGCAAAGATCCGCTTATTTGTTTCAAAGGTATGGCAAAATATCCAGGTGTTTCCAGGAAATATATGTGTTTGTTTCCCCAAAACCTGTCCAAAAGCCAGGTTTTCCCCTTTTGACCCTTCAAAAATGGAAGGACTTTGGCCTTCGAGGGCACACCCAATTCTGTGCATCCAAGGGTCCCCCCCGCTCAGCTGCAGCAGTCGCTCGCTGAGCCTTCGCGGCAAATGGTCGCAGCACCACCGGGGCTTGTGGCCGTCCTTGAAGGACACAAACCAGGCTCCCTCCTGATTGGATCACAGATTCAGAGCCCACAAAACCCCTAGACCAAGCCCCTCTTCTGATGGGGGGGGGACGTGTTTTTGTTTTTTTCTTCCCGGGATTTCTGGGGTATGGGTGTTTTGGAGGGAACCGCTTTCACCTTGAAAGGAATAAGGACAACCATCATGTTTGGGCAAAACTTCACCAAATCCAGCAGGAAACCGCCCGATGTTCAAGTGGTTCCGTTTGATTTTCCATTCGCAACAGGTGCTCAAGTTCTGGCCTCACTCTTAGAACTTCTTGAGAAGGGCTGCAAATTTGTCTGGCTTCACCCGCCAAACTAGCAAAAGGCGCTTGCTTTGTTCGGTGTTTGGCTCTGCACAAACCATTTGGCAGCAGGTGTTTGCCGCTTGTGCACCATTGCAGATTTGCCCTCGCCTGAGCCACTGCATAAACTGCACATTGAGCGTCTTAGAATTGTGAACAGTAGTCCCCACGTTCAGAGACTCCCGATTTGCAGAATTATTTTTAGCAAATAGCAGCAATCAACGCCTTCAAAGAAAGAAAAGGTGATCGGCAAAATATTGGTGGCCCAACCTCCCATATGAATCTGAAAAATAGTCTTGCGTGGCGCATCCTTGCTTGAATTGGTAGATGTCTAGTTTTATGAGACAATGCTTGACATTCGCTTGCAAATGAGGTCTGTGCCGCTCTTTGAAGGGGTTCCGGAAAAAAAGAAAAGAACAACGAGTTTGTCATGAAAAATGCCAAAAGAAAAACACCCACCCGCTTTGGGGCCTCCGTCTCAAAAAACGACAGAAAAAAACCAGGCCAGGCCTGGGACACGCTCATGGTCGCGATCTGGTTCAGGCGATCTTTATTTTCTTTCCTCAGCCAGGACCCCGAAAGGAAAGGCTACCTGTCCACTAACATAGAAGCCACCAGAGAGGGTCCCTTTGAAAGAACAATCGTCTTTCAGGGCCCCCAAAA